GGAACTGACTACTTCATCATATTTCGAGTCAGCATTGTTCCTACAGTTTCTCCCCAGCTGTATAATACCAGTAGTTTAGGGAGCATGGGTGGAGGACGTGTAGGAATGACTCAGATTGCGGTCACCTCCCCATCCCTTTTTTATTGGAGAGAGTAATACACTTTTCTTCATATACCGCTTTATCTATTTGCATTATAATAATTACACTCCATTGCCTTGTTTCTGAGGTGGTCGTCTTGATATTTGGTGTGTTTGTATCTTGGCTCAGTAAGGCCGGATAGCTTTATCTTCTTATATCCTGCGGGAAGTTATATGTCGGCCGAGTTTGTCTGTTTTTCTGTTACATTGACTTTGTGAAAGTTATCCAGCAACAACAAAATCAAACATAAAGTGGACAGGGTGGGTACTGTAGATGTGCAAGATGTATTTTGCTTGACTTTGACCTCTGCGAGCCATCTCACCAAAGTCACGAATGTCTGCTCACTCCATCAACTAGGAGGTGGACGGCAGGGTGTGAGTGTGGGGCATACAACCTCAGACTTTGTTCAGATTGGTTATGCTTTTCTTTGTACCGTGAGGTGTGCTGTATGGTATTCTATTTAGGTTTACCTTGGTTGTTGCAGGACTCAGGTGATTCCTTCATGTTCAGATCTACACCCTCGGTTAATCCTCATTTGTAATCCTTGGTCGAAGAGGTACTTGCTTTCTTGTTTTCTCTTTGTAAGCTGTTCTATTTATCATCAGTCCTCTGGGTGAATTGATGTTGTCGCATTAGATCTGACGATAAATTTTATAATCATGACCTCTCGGGAAAGCTTTTAGTTAGCCTAATTTTCTGCTGGCAATGGAGATGAGCTGTCGGGCAGATACCACTGTTGTGTTCTTCCGTGAATCATCGTAAAGTGAATTTTCCTGAGGTAATGAAGCTGGACTTTCTATGTTGTGAAATGTGGTTACGAATAATGGAGGAGGCAGCTATTGTATACACTCGTGGGTTTTAACGTCTCTTAATATTCTTCCCTCAGTCAATAATTCTATCATGTTCATATCACAAATTGTGCGTTGTATTGCGATGAACTACGATATTAAAAGAATAGATGGTATGAAATCACCCTATGGTCCACTGGGAAGAATTATATACTTGATCACAGACACAGCCTAACTTCCAGCGTATACCATACTCTGTTAGCTGACTTGCTGAAAATACGAGTTCTTCCTCTCCACTACCTCCCGGAGATTGATGTATTTTAGGATCTAGATTAAGATTTTTATGTAGCAGTTAGGCAGACTCCACCGTGGGGCTTGTGAAACCTGCACACAATTCACCGCAAGTTTTCCAGACCCCTCGACACACCTCCCATCACACAGACACAAACACCTCACTCTCTCCCAGGCCTTTTAATTTTTCACGGAGTTTAGTTGTTGGATAAAATCTCACGTAATCTCACCCAACCTAACCTAACCGAACCAAATCTAACCCACCCAAATCTAATCTAACCTACTGAACCTAATCTAACCGAGCCAATCTTTTTAACCCAAGCATAATCCTAACTAGCCGAACGACCCAAATACCCTCACCTCCTGGATCTGTTCAATTGTTGGCTAATATCCCACCTAATACAACTTAAACAAGATCAAGAGACCACAGGAAATTTAAAGCGGCCTGTTTTTTCCCCCTGTATATTTGTCTGGTACAACTTACATGTGTTCCGTGAGTTCATCCTCTGTTTTTATTACTGTTTTGTTCTTCGAATTTTTTTATAAACGCCTTCATGTTTATTCGTTGCCCACATGTATTAAATAGTTCGGTGGTATATTCTACTTTCTCGCGACTCTTTGTAAAATCAAATACTGTATCCTGTGGTAGCGGACCAGAAGTAGCCGAAACGGTAACTGAGCATGCGCGGTTGATGAACTAACATTCACACACAGTGACGTGACCCAGCCTTACCCTGCGTCGGACCAGAAGTGGCCAGTTGTGCTGTGGCGATAGATAAGTGGGTATGTCGACTCTAACAGGGCAGGAAAAGCAGAGTGAGAAATTTATAAAGTTTTCCGAGTACATGGAGTATGTTAAGTACTACCTAAAATATATCAACCATCGGCCAGGCAGCGGACTATCGTGTAAAGGCAGTGGTGAAGGGTACAAGCAGTAATCAGCAGCTAGTTTGTCCATTTCTCGTTGGAATGCAGCAACATCGTTTGTTACTCCAAATGGGAACCGACAAAACTAATAAGTCATCCATTTGTCTCAAACGCAGTATGCATCCTGTCAGATTCCTTCAGTGGCACTTGATGAACGTCACTTTTCAGGTTAAAGATGTTAAACACCTTGTAATTAGCAAGATCATTAACAAATAACATCGATGCGAGGTAATGGATAAGCATCGAGCTCCGTGTACTTTGGGTTAGGTACATTAAGGAAAGTCTTCCATGTTACTTTTATTTTCATTATTCCAGTATTTTTATTATGTTATTGTACATTATTATATACGCGTACAGTCAACAACAAAACTCTCTGCACTGACTGACGCTATGGGTAAGGTTGGTACAATTGAGTTATGCATTGTGTAACCAAGCGATGTAGCCTGTATTATCATGTATACTTAATACAGAGATAACAGGAATACATAGAGAACCGGCACATGTATCAGAATTCTTGCTCCGGTGTGTCATATTATATAACATCTTAAAATTGCAGAAAATGTTGTTGTTGACTGTACACTTGCGATGCAGGAAGAAATATCTTGATCCATACATGATGATGAAAAATAATATTTATCAGCTATGTATATAATTTGCATAGTAAAGAGGATGGCTTGGGTCAGGAGCAAGATGGCTACCGTGGTATATTATGGACGGAAATCCTGAGATTGTATAACGAATAGCTCTTCTGATCACCTAGATATCTAATTTCTATTTCCCCACACCAACAAAACCTCACACAAATGAAACCCTGTTCTCAGTAGGTAACTCTCAGTCCATCACCATGAATCAGTTGTGACTCTACAGTACAGACCATCATTACCAGATGTCAAGCGATCGCCTCTAGTTTTAAATGAGAAAACCAGCGAATATTTCTTATAGTCTTTAAGAATGTCTGTAAATTGTCCTTGTATTTTTGGCAACTAATATTAAATACGAGAAAATGTCTCTTTTTTTTTCTGCTACATCCAATAACAAATCTCAATTTAAATACACTTCTTATATTAACTCACACAAGGAGTTAAGCACATGATCTAGTTTTTCTCCACACACAAGTCACTCACTATCTTCCTGACAGACTCACCAGAACCAACACGTTAATATTCTATATTCTCTTTCCTTCTATGACAATTATCAGATTCTTAACTTTGACCAAACTTCTGTCAAGGAATTCTTATATATAGGCTGTGGATGACAAATTCCCCAAGACGTAGAAAAAAAGTTTCCCCAAAACTCAAGGAGAACATCACGTCTTTAGGGTTGTCCACAATACACAAATTACTTAATAAGTTTACTCCTCCTATGCTTATTAAACTATGTGACTGAGTAACTTACAAGCCTTACCAACTAATCCCATTATAAATTGTCTAACCAGTTGAAACACAAGCCTATGGCCCCACCACTTAGTCTATAGTACTATGTGGATTACTGCACTACCATTCACTTTACCCAGTTAGTCCACCTAAACACTCAGTGATTACAATCTCAAGTCCACAACAGTCACTGCCACCTACTGACTATCTAACAGCATAGTCTTTTAACTGAAAAGATTATCAACTTATTCTCTTGATAGTCTATACAAGGAAAACTAGTGTGTACAGCAAACCAGTTTCATTTTACAGGACCTGTGTCGATTACTGGCAGGGAATGAAGAGGACAACTTGACACACTCCTTCATCTACTACGTCTATAACACCAACTTAAATGGAATAATTGAGATGGAGAGAACTTCATAACAACAATCTATTGCTGCTATTATTATATAAAGAGATGGAGTAGGAGTCTAAACTGTTAGGTCTGTATCACTGACTTTAACACTGTCAACATCATCTTTAAATAAACAGAAAGTGGTACAGGTATACGTGTCTTGAGTTACATTGGTTGAGATAAAGGTGGGGCCGGACAGTGAAACAAACTGAAAGAGAATGAGAAAAGGAGAGAGAGAGAGAGAGAGAGGAATATAATGATGATGACAGATACCAACAGACGAAAACACACTCGCCCGTGGCTGCATTGTTCTACATAAATTAGGAAGTGTAGGTCATTTTAACAAAGAAATAATAGGATGAATGCCTGGTGTACTGAAACTTAAGCTCGAGTCTTTTGTGTCAGTACCAGGATGAAGGGAGACTGATGTGTCATATAGTTTAAGATTCGTCACTTCATTTTAAGTCTGTCTAGAAGCATGACAAAGTCCTTCTGCATCCTAAGTTCATGAGAAAAATCCTTCATTTGTGACATGAACAAACTTCAGTTTCAGGATACCTTCAGTTCAGGGCACATTTGTCCTCTACGGATGGACGGTTGTGGCAATAATTCCTGTATACACTCTTAAAGCAATGCAAGGCTAGGCGAGTCTTAACTCCTTTAACACTTATTACAACTTCTTTATCCAATACAATCTATTTACTCGATTCTTAATCTAACCAAAATAAACTTGCCCTACTATGTATATATTCGTATACTAACTTTCAGCCTACGTATCTGCACGTCGTAACTACATTACACACTGTTACAAGTTTGGTTACACAGTTTCTACGAAAGTGACATTCGCCCGTATTATTAAACAACATCTTCCCTTGAAGAAGGTCGTTGTGTTTCAACCCGAGTTTTAAACTAAACGAGTCCTGAGGGACACCACAGTACAGTACTTAACGGGGTGGTGGCGGTAAGATTAACTAATTCCAACATTTAAATAAATTTTATTGGAATTAGTTAATCTTACCGCCACACCACCCCGTTAAGTACTGTACTGTGGTGTCCCTCAGGACTCATTTACTTTAAAACTCGGGTTGAAACACGACGGCCTTCTTCAAGGGAAGATGTTGTTTAATAATACGGGCGATTGCCACACCAAATGAAGGAGTGCAGATGTTGAGACGTACACAAGTGATCACTAGAAGGTCGACAGCTGAGGTTAGCGCGCGGAAGTAGCTACAGGAGACGTGTAGTAAGAACAAAGAACCAGCAAGTGAAAGGTGTTGACAGGACCACAGGACAAGTTATCTAATAAAAAGGTCTACAGAAGGAGTCAGGAAAGAAGAAGAAAAACGGAGGAAGAGACAGTAGATGTCATGAGAGGTGTTAGGAGCGAGAGACAATTGCAACATTGCTTATCCTTTGAAAGAAACTACATACAAGGGAAGACCTCAGAGACCAAAGATGAAATACAAGAACGAATTACTGTATATATATATAATTTTTTTTTAATCATAAGGTTCAGGATAACATGAACATATTTCACTAGATGATATAACACAACTCATTGCTAATAAAGTGACCAGGTTCCTCAAAAAATACTGTATAGTCAGACATTTTATGATATGAATGTCCCTTATCAGCGAGAAACACTTAACAGAGCGAGTGAGTAAAAGCAACAGCGTACACCGGGGAGGCGAGAGGTTAAGATGCAGCAGGAGACGCTGATGATGAAACGGCAACAGATATGCCAGAGGAGGCACGAGCAGAAGGAGTACTTGGAAGCCAGGAGGAGTGAAATCATAATGTTCTTGTAGATGATGCGAGTTTACACAAAGGGCGCCGTCCCGTTCCAGTTAACATCCGCTCCCTGCCATCTGGAACACAAGGAGAGTAAATGTCTTGTCATTTGTCCATATATATATATATATATATATATATATATATATATATATATATATATATATATATATATATATATATATATATATATATCATGGAATGAATTCACAGAAATAAACATTACAATAAAACTGGAAACTTTTATCGAAATGAATAGGCAGGAGCACCGAACAGCAGGAAGCGGCTCTCTTTGATGTACTGTAAGTGGTAGAAGGATCACGAACTTGGTTAAGTGGCACTGATTTGGTGATTTTTTTTACAGGTACAGTATATAAAGTTCTTCATTGTAGAGACGTGGAAAGCTGATCAAGAAGCGCAAAACAGCACACGAGACACTACTCTATTATGTCAGCATTGGGGATATTTACGACGTCATCAGTGCCGGATTTAGACCTGTGGAGGCCCATGGGCAGCCTCTTTGTGGAGGCCCCCAGATTGTGGAGGCCCCTGGGCAGCTACCCACTTCTGAATCCGGCCCTGGACGTCATCAAGATGGCACATATTGCAACAGGCTATCGTGGCTATGACAGAATGAAAGCTCACCTTGCTCTGAATTATGCAAACATCACTAAAGAAGCTTTGGAGATGTTCAAGTCTTACTGCTTCGCCTACCAAGGAAAATAAAACGCCCAAAGACCACTGGAGTTGTTGTCAGACCTATTTTGAGTAGAGATCTCAACTCTCATGGCCAGGTTGTATGCAATCACCTCCCCAAAGCTCAGTTGAAGTGGATTATGGTATATCAGTGCCACTTAATCAAGTTCGTGATCCTTCCGCCACTTAAAGTGCCGTGGTCACGTTTGTGTAGTTAGTCCGTTCAACACTTAATTATATTATTCATATTATGCTACAGAGCCCACAAAACATATGAACGTTTGAGTCCCCCAGTAGAAACGTTCGTTCTCTAATCACTTCAGTATTTCTTAGTCCTCCGTTTTCCTTTTGTGTATTCTATCAGGGACTCCGTTATTTCTGTATATCCTAGGGTGTTCCCGAATTTGAAATTGTGAGTGAATGAATTTATTGTACGGTCAATCAGGTACACCCACCGAGAGAGAAAATAGTCTAGATGTGTTTAGTATATGTTGAAGGCATCTTGTATCTGTAGATGTAGAGTATTTCGTGTGAAGAGATTATGTGTTGAGTACTCTGTTTGCCAGCTGTAAATCATATGTTTCGTGTGTTCTTACGAGGCGGCCGTTCGAAACATCAGAGAATCCGAAGGAAACATAGAAAGTGTTGTCAGTCTTGTATTATGGAAGTTAGATAATTGTCTGAAATGTAAACACAAAACATACTTATCGATCGAGTTTAACGAAAAAGCTCAGCTATCTGCTTCGCTCCCCTCCCTGAATACTGCCATTCTAAGAATTTGTCTTCAGTTTTATTCTTGTCTTTGAGAGCTCAATCACTACTTAGTTTGAAAAGACAAACTTAGCAGATTAAAATGAGTTCGAAGCCTCATTTTCAAATGCCACTGTGTAGAGTAACTTAGTCTGTCGATTTCTCTGTAAGTGACAACTTGGTAACTCACGGTTAGGAGACGCTGGGTGGAAGAGAGTCAGCGGGCCCATGATCTCACTTCACCCAAGATTTCCATCCTGTACACAGGTAAAGTCTAGTAGTCCATGTCCCACCTCATCCCTTAGTGTTGTAACTTAGTATTTTGTCTGAATATGCAGTAATCAATTAACCTAGCTGTGTTGTATTTTAAATAGTGTTCAGGCAGCTTCAGTCTAGCTAAAATGTTATGACATCCGTGTCAACTCGCTCTAAGCCATGACCCCACTCCGTACACAGGTCCCTGTAGGCCATGGGGTGTGCCCAGACGATGTCCATGTCGTCCAGCATCATTGTTAGAGAAGGATGGAGGAGGCCTTAAGAGCAGATAACATCACGTTACGCAGGCCCGCAGCCAAGCTCAGCCAGCAGCCGAGAGACTGTTGGCCTGGGCACGTTCACCATCCACTTGTTGCTCACCCGCGACGTAAACATGACCCGCTATGTACAGATTACTTCGGGTGTGTTATTCGTTCGAGATTTCATGTGTATAATCTCCTCTGTGCTATGTAGTGTGTGTGTACCTGTGGTGCTAAGAATGAGCGGCAGTACCTGTATGTATTGTGGATATTAATGAAGGTTCCTTAATCGGATGCTGTTGAGTATGTTGGTGCTATTGAGTATTTCTGGGTGATATTGGGGAAGGAATGTCCTAGGTAAAGAGGTCAATGATTTGGTATGGGGAGAGAAGACCTTAATTAACTGTTTGGAGAAGGTCAGGTATTTTTGTGTGGTGCAGTGACCTTAATTGTTTGGGGAAGGTCAACTATTTTTGTATTGTGATTGAATGCAATATATTTTTTCATATTAAGAAATAAAGTAGTTAGACTCTTTCTTGGTGTTTCGCCCTCCCTTCCACTCTTAACTTGTTTGGAAAATACAAACTCAGAGTGCCTGGATTACTCTGCCAGCTTCCTAAAGAGCACTACACATACTGTCCTGTGGTCTGGTGGCAGCGACCTCAAGTTAAGACATAAGTTGAGTACCCCTAGAATTAAGTGATCACATTAAAGGACAGTATACTACATCACACCAAAGTCATTTTAGCCATTTCATGAAATGACAAGGCAGAAGTTCAGCCATTTCATGCAATGGCTGAAAATTGTAGGCGCTTCAAGAACTGAGCAAGTGAAACAGCCATTTCGCGAAATTACTAAATATTCCAGTTACAGGTATTATGCAAAATTTTACCTGCAATACGCAATGCAAACTCTAAAACAGGATAGGAAATATGCCCCAACAATACACTCAACTGTCAAGGAATGGTTGAATGAGGCCGAGTGAGTGAAGGTGAGGCCATGAGTGGTGGACCTACTTGGTGTGGATGAGGTTCTCCAGGTAGGGGGAGTTGTACTCTTCCTTGACCGTCTGGTTACGAGTGTCGATAGTGATGATGGTAGCTGACTTCTGGTTGGTGCTGGCAGAGTAGTAATATAGATCGAACCTGGTGAAGAAATAGCCAGTTAAAGCTTGAGGCAGACTTTTTGTTGACACATACAGCCATTTTTTTAAACACTCGGGTTACTTATTAGTACAGTACCCCGAAAGCACTCTCTGGGCCATAATTCAATGTTTTAAACCAAATTTTCCATAAATAGGTTCGGGTTACTATTTAGTAATCTGACAATATTATTGGAAAGTTCGGGATAAATCATCAGGTGTGGGTAGGCACCCGAAAGACTTATTCTGAATGTTCAAACTAGTTATAAATGAATAGAAAAAGTCTCTGAAATACAATATATGTAAATTAAGATGAGATAATAAAGAAAACAAATATTTAAATGTCCTAATAACCGGTTCCGACGGAAATGTATATATTTTTAAGAGACCGCCGTGTACCCCCGTGATGGTTTACCTTCAACTCCGCTGAACCTCTCTGTTCCATCATCAATGCTTCCCTCAGCCAAGCAAGATGCCCAGCTGACTAGAAGACCTCATATGTGTCACCAGTGACCAAGTCAACCAGCCCACAATTCTTAAATGAACTACGACCCATTGCCATCACACCAAAACCCAGCTTAATCTGCCATAGATCCTCAGCAATTTGGCAATATGAAAGCTAGCTCCACCACTCACTTCACCAAAGAATTTGACCTACTTGACCACAATTTAATCAACAAATATATCAACCTCAGGTTTTGGAGAAGTCTTATACCATGGCTTAGACTTTCTTAGTGACCGACGCCAAGCTGTACGCTTCCGAGGGGCTGTCTCCACTTTTCAGTCACTCACCTGTGGTGTCCCTCAAGGCACCAAGACGGGAACCGCTCTGCTTTCTTATGCTTATCAATGATGCTCTAAGAGAAACCCCTGCTCGCTGGAAATATGTCGACGACTCCACCATTGGGATCAGCGTCAACAATTCGGCTCCCGACGACACCACCTTCCAGGATTTATTGAAGAGTCTCCAAATTTGGGCCACCAACAACCACATTACCATCAACCATACCAAGACCATGGTTACGCATATCAACCTCTCCTCCGACGTTGTCTCACCTCCCTCCATTACTTTGGGCCCCAACACACTCCAGGTTGTGGACTCCACTAAGCTCCTCGGCGTCACTACAGATAATCTAAATTGGAAAACACACGTCAGTAAAGTTGTCAAATCCTCCAGTTTTTGTCCCCACCTCATCCGCCAACTCAAGTCCCTCGGAGTTCCTCCGCCCGAGCTCCTCAGTGTTTACTCAACATTCATTCTTCCCAAGCTCACCCATGCCTTCCCTGCCTGGTCTTACTCCCTAAATGCTACACAACGTAAACACATAGAAAAAAGTGCAAAATAGGGCATGCAAAATTATTGTCTCCCCTTCCTAATCCACATATCAAGAAGCGCTCAACACACTGACCCTTTCGGCTCTCACTGACCATCACCACGACCTCATCTGCAAATTTGATGAGAAGTTTCTGCACCATTCTCGACACCGAATCCTACTTCCACCCGAGATCCCTCGTCCCCGAATTGCTGTTCGACACCACAACCGCATCCAGCCCATACAAGCATGTATTGATCGCTATAAGAACAGCCCAGTCCCAACCATTGTAAATATATCAATAACTGGTAATCAACGAGTGTATTAACTCCCAGTCAATCTTACCTTTTTGCACTGTCACTATGTTGAAATGCCCTATAGTATAACCTTCTCCCCTCTTAGTTATTGTATATCATATTTGTATCACTTATGTTACTTGTATATTATTTGTCAATCAAGTAACCCATTCCCCAATTATGTAACAGTATATTTTCAGCCTTCAGGCTGCCATGCTCTTTCAATAAACCGTTAATTATTATTATTATTAATACAGGGGGTATTATTATTATTATTATTATCATCATCATCATCATCATCATCATCATCATCACACACACACACACACACACACACACACCTGTTTTCAGCGTGGTAGTCCCTAGTGAGTTCCTTATTAGGGTTGAAAAGGATCCCGTAGGAGTCATTACACCTCGTGACCCAGACAGGGAAAGAAGGTGTTTTGAGTCGTGACCCCACGTTGACCTGACCTCCTTCCTCCGGTCTCCTCCACACTAACAGCCCCACCTCCGCCCGGGTTATGATACCTGTTTTGGGCTTGGCCTAGAACATAGTTACCAGAATTATCAAACTAATATAAGGTTCAGTAATATGTAATGTACAGTATATTGTTTCATTCTTTAATTATTATGTCAAGATTAACATAGACATTAAAGGCTTTTCTTCATAACTTTCATCTTATCACGCTGTATTGTCAAACGAATCAGAGGAAAAGGATTAAAAATTAACACTTTATATTCAAAACATTTGGAATTAAAACCAGCTAATTCACCAACCCTGAAAATCCCTAAGTCCTAAAATTAATTTCAATTAAGCACCAGGAAAGCACAGGGAATTTAGGGGAGAGATCAGGATGTGGAGCTTATTTCTGAATCTGTCTTATGTCTTATACTTCTCCACACACTAAATGTTTACATACATAAGAAGCAATTAATAACAGTGCAAGTACAGGCGCCACCAGACACCTGACTATATAAACACGTGCTTACTGACCATGGTATCCTCGCTGCCCTCGTAGATGATGCCGTTGTGGAGGAAGAGTGTGGCGCGGCCCGTCAGCATCAGAGTGGCCAAACACGGGTGGATTATCGCGTTAGTACACAGCAGACTCACCTCCTCACCGCCCATGTCCTCGTTCAACCTGCCGGGGCAAGAGCAGATAAATGATTAGTTTATATGGTCAGGGAGGACAAGCATCAGGGGGTGAGAGGACAAATATCAGGGGGGGTTAGGGACAACAAACATCAGGGGGATAGGGAGGACAAGAACTTACTTGTTGAAGCCGCGGGAGAGGACGAGGCTATAAAGGAAGAGCAGTAACCCGTTACCTTCGTCAGCCAAGAACTGTAAACAACAATGATGGGATCAGCCCTCACTGTGACAACTATCTACTCCATCCTTTAATATTTTCAATGCATATATGTTAGAAATAATCGATAAATACCACATAAAAGATAAATTTAATAATGGTTCAGCAAAATAACTGCATACATTTAAAGCTTGCAACAAACACAATTCTTCATGATATATCAAACCCAACAGGATATACAGGATAGAGATATTTTGTTTATTTTACATACTATTGATTCTGTATCTGTAAATTTAACACAGGCTTCAATACTGCCACTAGATCCCTGTAAAGATGCTCACCTCAAAGAGATATTTTTTAAGGTTGAAGGTCAGCTCATCTTGCTTCTTGAACTCAAAGGTGTGGATCTGAAAAGGACATTAATTCTTATTTATTTGGTGATTGAATAAGAAGTAATAATAATAATAATAATAATGGAATGTTCTTGTATATTATAATACATTAACTTTGTTGTCTTTTAACCTTGATATAATTTAAAAGGTAATTTATACTGATATAGAAAAGCTAATGAAGATATGCTAGAAAAAGTAAAAAAAAAAATGTTACTCAAGTCATATAATCAGGGATATTAAGGGATGAACTATTGGCTATGAGGGCCAGGGGAAGAGATAGACCTGGATGAATGGACTAATGAAGTTAAAAGGTGGATTCTGTGTTCAAGGATCCTCATTATGTTTTCCTGTGTATTTCCTTGTCTGACTGTAAGAGTTTGTTTATTACTGTACTGTATTCCTGAATGTCTAGGTTAGAGTATATTGAACTCATCATTCCCTACCTGAATGATTCTATAGGCACTTATATCTCCAGTGTGTGATTGGAAACTCTCGCATATTCCTCCCTGTACTTTGGTCAGTGTGTCTGTGTGATGACCTACCCGCTCGGTGCATCCATCGGACTGGTAAGAGGGCGTGTCGTTGACGTAAATGTTCTCCTGGGCGAGGCACAGCACGGCGTGTTGTCGCTCCCCGGCCCTCCAAAGTATGTCACTGAGGGCCCCCACCAGTGCCTCCTCCTGTGCCTTTGTCGTCGCCCGTAGAAGCCTGGGGAGGAGGAGAAAAAATTGAGTTCGCTGTTCTCTTCGTCCCTTACCCGATTCGATGATCAAGGTGACTGGCCATTGCATGAAACTGGTCATGTGTATTACTATTGTTGGGAATATTACGTGTTTAATACTAGTTTTTCTCTCAATACTACTAGGGAGGCTGATATTGGGATTAATTTCCCTGTGATAACTATTAATAGTAATGATACAGTTAAGGACAATACCATAGCCGGTCTAGGTAGTTTCAAGTGCTAAAGGATACGACAAAGGTTCCCGAGTAAGTATATAATATCAACCAGGTTCAGTCGCCACATCAAAGGACCGTATAAGTAAAACAATGCCAGCCAGAACATTCAAAACCCTTCCACCCCATAAGGAGAGATATTTGCAAGCCGTGACTAAGACATTCGAGCGTAACCTTGTGGCTTCTACCTGTGGTCTATTTTATGTCATGAACCTCAGACTCACATCATAACACAAATATGAAACACGTAGTAGTACACGTTTGTTGAAGGTACTGAACTATTGTCACAGCCACTACTGAATAACCTTCCTCTTTCAGCAGTGCTTCAACTCCTTGGCCCATTAATCACTCACACATTCTGAAATAACGGTTGTGGTGAACAGACCAGGATGTGTACACCCTCCTTGCTACCTCTGGCTGATAGTTAAAGTGATATTTAATACAAACACTGAGAAAACATCCAAGGAAAACTATTCTTTATACTGTACAAATTGAGTCAAGAAAGAGAAATACTAATTTATAACAATTAACAACTATTATATTCACAATAAAACAAAGAGTACAGACATTGACACTGCATGGACTTGTGGCCCAACTGATTTAGTAAATAATCTGACAATCTCACAACATATCTTTCCCTCCATTTACAGGAGTATCACTTAGTATTCACCCTAAATGCTGGTGAATAAATTAATAACAAAATGCAGGATATACAATGGATGAAGCAAGATTACAATCACTCTCCGATCTCACATCTACACCCTGTATTCACCTGTGGAAGACAGAGCATCTCCCACATAAACAAACAATACAGCTTCTCCAATTAATAACTCTAAACTTCTTTGTGTAAGTATTGTATAAATACAGTAGATAAAATAACTATCTGTGCAGGTGGGGGTCGATATGCTCTAAAATTTTACATGTGACTAGTGACAGCCCTCATATACCAATATTTATCGTCCATGGTCTCATATTGTTTCCCACAAAGTATGCACAGATAGTTGTTTTAGCTACTATACATAATATTATATGATTATAAAATATTAAAAATTACATTGAACCAGTATATTTCACATTAAATACACAAAATAAACTAATTTCAAAAGACGTACATCATCTTACATCTTTCATAGAAAACCAAACCGCTCTTGCAACAGCGACTGATCTAAAAGAACATACGGCACACATCTTAGTATTTCAACGGTGTGTAAATACATAGCCCTATATAACATTGTACATACATCAGGTGAACGCTCGTCTGTGTTCTTGTCTCAGCCCAGCGGGAGTTATAACCATCAGTCTAAGAACAAAATTACTAAAGACAAAATGAAAAAGACTCACACTGTGGGGTCGGCAACCACCCTGGCTCCCCGGCGGTTGAAGAGCAGGTGTTTGAGGATGAATCCCTGGACACACATGGCCAGGCCCTTGGTGCTAGTCTTGTGCATCTTGAGGCTGTACGCTTCGACAGTCTCGCCATCATGAAAGACGAAAGACTGACCCAGCCACTCGTTCTCCGTTGATCCCAGTAAGTCCGCTGAACCAAACACTTGTCGTCGCAGCGCCTGAAGAAGAGGTTAACATGAACGTGTGGGAGACCGAGAGATAAGAGACACACTGAAACAGACAGAACAGTGGCAGACAGAGATGGAATGAGTGAAAGATAAAACAAGAAAAAAAAACAGTGAATGGAAGAGAATATACGGGTGATAAAGTAAAAATATGAGACGTAGGGAGGTGATGGTCAACTAACATTTAATGTATAAGGTTTCTATATATCTCATCAACATCCAACACAGTTTCATTACGTTAATTAAACACACAAGTGGTCTACGAGTACATCTTAATGAATACTAAATCTCACAATAAGAAAGCTAACTACAACAGCTAATTCAGATCATCCTTCCTCACCACAGACCATAAACAATAGGATGTAATTATCAAGGATTCCTAAAATATTTCTTTTTATATCATAACTAAAAACAAACAACCATAAAGTAGAGCTGAAGAAGACGATCTTTTTTCTCCTTCTCAACTTTATTTCAAGTTTTCGGAAGAGGTGGAGATAAATACTTGATGAAAGAAAGTTTTATTACCAAACTTTCAAGAACACACAGCATCTTAAGTCTTACGGTACGACTCACCCTAAGATATGAGTCACCTTAGGAGTCACCCTATGAGTCACCGTTACAATGTGTCGATAAAGGCATCAAGAGACTATTGATCCTAGTCACGCGTTCATCGCCGGCGTGTTTACATTACCTCCTTGTATCGTAACCAGTGTTGGTGTGGTGGTGCCTGTCATGTCATGGTGGTGCCTGTCATGTCGTGGTGGTGGTGCCTTGTCATGTCATGGTGGTGGTGCCTTGTCATGTCATGGTGGTGCCTGTCATGTCATGGTGGTGCCTGTCATGTCATGGTGGTGGTGGTGGTGCCTAAAGAAAAAGATAAAAAGCTGGATGATAATGATGATGATGACAAAGAAAACCACAGTATAAAAATAATATAAAAAGGAAGGGGTCAAGTACCTCGGGGAAGACGCCATATTGTGGACGGAAGATATCGACAAACTAGCGAACATTGTACTAGGCCAGGGAGTGACCATTGTGTATCACCGAGGAGGAGGAGGAAGAGGGGAGGAGGAGGAGGAGGAGGAGGAGGAGGAGGAGGGGGGGGACACTGTTGTTGATGTTAGTGGGTCCCTCCCTATTGTAACTGGCTGGGTGACGTAGGTGGAGGTCCTTCCACATTGGGTTAGAGAGGGGCGCTAGTGTCAGGTGAAGGGAGGTGAGGGGCTCCGCTAGTGTCAGGTGAAGGGATGTAGAGAGGGGCGCCGCTAGTGTCAGGTGAAGGGAGGTAGAGAGGGCTCCGCTAGTGTCAGGTGGTGTCAGGTGAAGGGAGGTAGAGAGGGGCGCTAGTGTCAGGTGAAGGGATGTAGAGAGGGGCTCCGCTAGTGTCAGGTGAAGGGATGTAGAGAGGGGCGCCGCTAGTGTCAGGTGAAGGGAGGTAGAGAGGGGCTCCGCTAGTGTCAGATTATCGATATCGACGCCGATTACCGAGAGGAAAGAGAAACACCTCCTGAAGGGGGTGGGAGCTGCGTAAGTGGGGGGCAGAAGTGTGATGTAAAGTCCAAAAAGGCAAGAACTCAGGGTTGGTTCTGTAAGCTGGAGGTTGGCTGCTTCCCCCTTCCTACCTTCGCGTGTCTTCATTGTCTACGTATGTCTTTGTTGTCGTTATTCTCATCCATCGGTTTTATTGTTATTTTGTTGTTGTTTTTATTCATTATTGTCATTCTATTTATCATTTTCTATAGTTCTTGTCTTTCATTAATTAATCTAAAATAACTTAACCCAACCCAACCTAAAATAACCTAACCCAACCCAACCTAAAATAACCTAACCCAACCCAACCTAAAATAACCTAACCCAACCCAACCTAAAATAACCTAACCCAACCCAACCTAAAATAACCTAACCTTACCTAATCTAACCTAACCTAACCAAAATGACCAGCAGTTCTAATGGAGCCAGTCTAATGGGCCCCAATCCTAATGGACCTTAGTCTTAATGGACCCCAGACACAACAGTTAGGTTAGAGTACAGATGAGGCTGGCTCAGGAGTCCTGGAACACTTAAGGGGGTCTAAGTGGTATGAAGAATTCTAAGTAGCAATTAAGAACATACACGATGATAAGGTATTTAAGTGGTGATGTAGGTTCTAAGTGGTGATGTGTGTCCTGAATAGTAAAACAGGTGAGTGGAGAAATTAATTAATCACAGGTGTTTGAGAAGAAGCGAACAAGACTGACTGATAGAGAAAAACAGATAAATTGATAGATAGACAGACACAGACAGACAGACAGACAAAGACAGACAGACAAAGAAAGACACAGACAGACAGACACACAGATAAATAAACACTGCATACAAACAAAATTGAATCCAAACCTTTAAAAAAATAATTTCAATAAATTTTTTTTTTGAGGATAGTTACAAGAAAAAAAGTTAACCTCATTTTTATCACAATATCAAAGGGATTAATTTACTCTCTATTTTAGACACGAGAGAATAATGTAATCCCGGTCGTCTGGAGATTACGGGATTACGAGACGGCTGGAATTGAACAGACGAACGAGAGAAGAAAATGAACACAATAAAGAATTTCCTTCCTGTTTTCTTATGAACATTTCCTTCGTTTTTTTTTCTTCAAATTTCTTTATGTTGTTTGGTTGTCTAAAAATAATAAATCGTGTGGTTTCTTGTTTTATTTGTATATTTTTGATTGGTTGGTTGGTTTAAGATTAGTTGAGAATTGTTATTGGTTTTCTATGTTTTATCTCCCAGGTAAAGGCTATTTGTGGCTTATGTCTGCACGAGATGTCTATTTCTGGCCGTGAAGAAGATGTCTTTATCCCCAATTTCGTAATAATCTGTGACAGATATTGATCTTCGTGTCTCTCTCTCGTGTCCAAGCACCAATCAGACGCCGTCTTCCATTTAAATATTTTTTATAAGGGCATAACAAAGGTTTACAACCCAAAGGAAGAGTTAACGAGTATAATACCACACACACACACACACACACACACACACACCATGTGACTTGCATCTCAAAGGAAGCTCCTCACTTAACCTGTGTTTCCTGGTAAGGTTAAGCGAGTGTGTGAGTGTGAGGGTCTTGGGGTTAAGTGAGTGTGAGGGTCTTGGGGTTAAGTGAGTGTGAGGGTCTTGGGGTTAAGTGAGTGTATGAGTGTGAGGGTCTTGGGGTTAAGTGAGTGTGAGGGTCTTGGGGTTAAGTGAGTGTGAGGGTCTTGGGGTTAAGTGAGTGTGAGGGTCTTGGGGTTAAGTGAGTGTGAGGGTCTTGGGGTTAAGTGAGTGTGAGGGTCTTGGGGTTAAGTGAGTGTGAGGTCTTGGGGTTAAGTGGTCTTAAGGGTCTGAGTGTGGGTTAGAAGTGAGTGTGAGGTCTTGGGGTTACAGAGTGCGTGATAATTGGTCGATAAGTGTGTCAGTGTGGTATAAATCCACTGAGAGTTAGAGGGTGGGGAGTGCAAGGTGGTGGGAGAGAGAACAAGGGGGGTGAGGGAGAAGGGGTGAGGGAAAGGGGGCAAGGGAGAGAGGGAAGGTAGAGAGGGAGATGAAAGGGAGGAAGAAAGGTGAGGGAGAGAAGGGAGGGTGAGAAGGGAGGGAAAAAGGGGAGGGAGAGAAGGGAGGAAGAAAGGGAAGGGAGGGGGGAGATGGAAAGGGGGTGAATAAGAGGCGAAGGTGTGTATTGTACTTAATTTCTAACCTAACCTAAGATTAAGAAAATAAATAAGAAGATTAACTTAATAATACCGTATGTTTAATCCCACTTTAGATTTATCATTGTGGTAAAGTATTTTTGTGTTTTACTCATTAGAATAATTATATAAAACTCTATAATTATATCGGTATAAAGAGCTTTTGATAATTTGGTCATAAACTGTTTAGGATTAAATGTAATTATTATTTATTACTAGGTGTGATCGTTGGGGTCACACACACACACACACCTACCTATAACAAAATTCATTATGGTATATGTGGACAGTACCAGTGGACAGTATCATCATAGACAGTAGTGGAGAAAACGAAGGTACTTACCAGGGCAGTGTCAGCCGTGATGGGAGTGCCACCAAGGACAGGAACTTTCTGCACCGAGCTCTTAGGTTTAGTCGGGTACAACACACGTTCTGTAAGAGAGGTCAAATTAGGTCATGTATACTGGAGGTCCTATTAGGTCATGTATACTGGAGGTCAAATTAGGTCATGTATACTGGAGGTCAAATTAGGTCATGTATACTGGAGGTCAAATTAGGTCATGTATACTGTAGATCAAATTAGGTCATGTTAGGTCATACTGTATATGCAGGAAGTCACGCCAGGTCAAATGAACTGTAGGTTAAGCTAGGTCAAGTGTAGTAAAGACCATCCTACTTATCAATGAATATAAATAACAATAATATCAATAATAATAATACGAGTAACAATAACAATAAAAAAATAATAATAACAATATTAAAAACAATAATAATAATGATAAAGCAATAATAATAACAACAATAATAATAATAATAATAATAATAACAATAACAATAATAATAATAATAACAATAATAACAATAATAATAATAACAATAATAATAATATAATAATAATAAGAAAACTGTTCGTGGTAATACAATAAACATGACAGATCAGCCACTAATCCCCCGACATATCTGGAAATCATCACAGATCATGACCTACAGCCTACAGGATGTGGTCATACGATGGAGAGATGAGGTCAAGGTCACTGTAGGTCCGTGAGGTCGTATTACTGTCACTGTAGGTCCGTGGGGTCGTATTACTGTCACTGTAGGTCCGTGAGGTCGTATTACTGTCACTGTAGGTCCGTGGGGTCGTATTACTGTCACTGTAGGTCCGTGAGGTCGTATTACTGTCACTGTAGGTCCGTGAGGTCGTATTACTGTCACTGTAGGTCCGTGAGGTCGTATTACTGTCACTGTAGGTCCATGGGGTCGTATTTATGTCACTGTAGATTGGGGATATTGTGTCACCCTCACTATAGATCCTCAACATCAGATCACTGTAGAATTGTATTGGCGTAGCACCGTCACTGTAGAACCAGATTATTGTAGTAATGTCACTGTATAATCGTAACTACTTATCACTGTCACTGTAGAAATGTAGTGTCATAAGGTCGGGATATTATTTTTTGTCACTGTATCACTGTAAGTCTGTATGAATGATAAGGTGTTTTTACGACACAACGTCATTGTAATTAAATACCTCAAGATAACAGCTGGGTTAGGTTATGTAAGGTTAGGTTAGGTTATGTAAGGTTAGGTTAGGTTAGGTTATGTAAGGTTAGGTTAAGTTAGGTTATGTAAGGTTAGGTTAGGTTATGTAAGGTTAGGTTAGGTTATGTAAGGTTAGGTTAAGTTAAGGTGGTTTGTGTAGGTTAGCCAAAAACAGCATCGTGAATACACCTCTCAACACCTATATGTAAAATCATAAGTTAACATTAAAAGTTAAGAAAATAATTAATCATACAACCTAAATCACCAGATAATCATACACAATAAATAATACATCTCTAAATTAAATAAATACTTATCCTCAACACAAACCACTTAACATCAATACAAATTACAATTAACCTGCAAATAAAAAATCTAATTAATAATCATCTACATAATTAATCGGAGTATAATAATAATAAAAAAACTACTCATGCTCAATTAAATGCCTAAGAGATATAGAAAGCAATGTCCACACCAGCAGTACTACTACGGTAAGCTGGAGTTAACACGTTTAGCGGCAGCAGTGAAGGAGTAATGGATCTTACCTTATTAACCAAAGCCATTTATATTCTTTGTTTATTTATCTAAGCCAGTGGGGATAGGAGTGGGAAGAAGGGGAAGAGGGAAGGGGGGGAAGGGGAGTGTTTAGAGAGAGGGATAGGAGGTACCTTTTCTCCTCTTCCCTTTCTCTTCCTCCCTCTGTCCCTGTGAGAGGTTAAGTGTATAGGGAGTCATTAAGACAGACAGACGGACAAACCGATAAACAACAGAAAAGACAGATTGATGTGGAAACAGACAGAGGTTTCGATTCACTTGGACAGAAGTGAAAACCAATCAGACGGATAGGTAAACACAGAAACAGACAGGAGAAAGAATAGACAGGTACAGAAAATAAGCTAATATATATAACAGACAGGTGAACACAGACAGTAATAACGTCAACAGAGACATTAAATGAGACAGGTAGACAGGTACAGACACAAGAACAGCACCCAAGATTGAAAGACATCAGACAGGCAAATAGTTAAAAACACCTAAACAGACAGACAGACGAATAAAAAACACTGACAGACAAGATGGTAAGCAGACAGACAGGTAGACAATAAAGAACTCACCTGAGCCTCTCTTCTCGGTGCCTAAGAGGAGAAGCTTCTGATACAAACTCTGTCTCTCTGGCTTAATTTTACTCATGGTTAGGTCAGGTTAGGTCAGGTTAGGTCAGGTCAGGTCAGGTCAGAACTAAGAGCTTTTCTTTCTTTGTCTGCCGGCTGGTGACCAAGGTAAGTTGTTTGTTTATTTATGTGATAATTAGGGTTTAATATTTCCTTCACACGTTAATTTTTGCTGTAGTCTATACCTGTTGTAGTGATGATCTGTACAGGTGTTTTATTGATTAATTTTCCTTTTTTTTTATTACAGGTTATTTATACAGTTGTGTTACATGATTTATTATTGTGGTTTTAAATATTTTTGTTTTGTTTTAAATTTGCATAAGAGTCACTAAACTGTGGTGGTGGGATGGAGTAAAAACAGTCACTGGGATGTCAGGTAACAATATTAGTCAGGTGATTGGCTAATAACATATTTTTTTTAGTGATAATCTTGGTTAATCTTCTGGATAATTTTATAATCCTTCGTCTTAGTTCCACGCAGCAGCTGATGATCTGTCCTCATGAGAAAAACTGCTGCTGGTCTGACACAACATATATATATATATTAAAAGGTATATATATATATATTTTTTTACCGGTTTCAGCTACTTGGACGTTCATATACTAAACGAGGTAGTGTGACTCATGAGTGGAACCAATAACACACACACACACACACACGACCAGAAGATTGATGTGATTGATAGTCCATTTTTTACAGATATTTTAACATGACGTAAAATTAAAATTGAAAATGGAACAGAAATTCTCTTTAGAGTGTAATATCTTCCCCTACAGGAGAGACCAGCCCTTCAACCCTTCACAACTACGACCAGGTGTTCGAGTAGTGTTAGTGATAAACAGCTACCAGACCAGTCATCCGGAAACAACGACAAAACAAACCAGAAACATGAATCATACTAGAATATAACTAAATTAATCAACAACTGTATGAATAAATCGTTTTAAATACATTAATCCTTAATAAATTTCCATGTAGCATAACCTTAAATAAATTCCTTATACAACAATGATATATAATGACATGGTAACAACTATTAAAACCTATATCACCAATATTTTCATTATACACCTATCAGTCATTGAATATCATACCACAAATAAATATAAATCTGTCACGATTAATACGACCAACACGTATCACTCCCTATTGTTAATTCTGGTTATTTTAACAGACTAAAAAACGTTCCCTTACTTCACACAGCATTAAAATTAACTTCATAACCACTCGGGGTGATTAAAATGATGTCCAAATAATGTCTAAGTTAACAAGAAACATAAAACACTTAAATAATTAAGCTCCAATGTGGTGGTCCCAGATTTGAGCCAAAGATTTCGATTTGACTCACAAAAACAAAATCAGATTTGGACCGAAGATGAGTCATGAATCCATTTACGCGAATCAGATTTTATCCCAGATTTCATTCCTAGAGAACAAAGATTTTATATCGGAAAATCCTCTCAGGTCAAATCTCAGGAAAAAAGATAATACCTTTCCCAATTCACTTGTATAATTAATAGAATGATATATAGATAATTATAGGCGTCTTTTAATATATAGATTAATAGTTATATACAGTGAAACCTCTATATACCGCACTATATGAAGATGAAAGTCCGTTATATACTGTAGAAACTGCGCACTAGGTTACCAAGAAATGAGGGGAAATGGGCTATGAGTTACCAAGGAATGAGGGGAAATGGGCCCTGGGTTACCAAGGAATGAGGGGAAATGGGCCCTGAGTTACCAAGGAATGAGGGGAAATAGGCGCAAGTTACCAAGGAATGAGGGGAAATAGGCGCAAGTTACCAAGGAATGAGGGGAAATGGGCCCTGAGTTACCAAGGAATGAGGGGAAATGGGCCCTGAGTTACCAAGGAATGAGGGGAAATGGGCCCTGAGTTACCAAGGAATGAGGGGAAAGGTGGTGTATTATTAAAGGTATGAGGGGAAACATTTTTCAAGTTATCAGGGGGATGAGGGGAAATTAGTTATAAGTTACTAAGGAATGAGGGCAGGGCTATACAGTTAAGTACATTAGTAACTTAACTTTTGTATCTTGTCACTGGGGAAACTTTCACTCGCAAACAGTTCCGTATTTTTTTTTTCCATTTTGGTGCTTAAAAGTCACCATTATCAACTAGTATCATATATACTCAGGCAGAAGATGCACCATTCCGTCCATCCACTTACGAACTATCACCACCACCATCATCACTATCACTATCAGCAGCATCACCATCACCACCAATATCACTATCCCCACCATGTCACCACCACCACCACCACGACTTAGCACTATTTTCAACGCACGACGAAGACAAGGGATCCGCAGCTTCTCTGACCCGCTCGACGTGAAAGCCCGTGTTTGTTTGGCTGGAGCTGATAGGACGGCAGCCTTTATATACCCTCGTGGCCGACAAGGGATGCCAAATATAATTGATGGTTTGTTGACGGTAAACCCAACGTGTTTATACTAGCAACACCATTTTTTTTATACAGGGTAACACGAAGGCACCTTGTCATTAATCCTAAGTTAAAGTTTTCCCAAGTTCATCGATTTATTAACATCCAAAAAATAGTCAAACACACTTGTAATAATTTTGTGTAAATATTATCAATCTGATGTCTTTAACATTATTGAGTTGCAGTATAAACATTCACTTAATTCAGATGTTTATATATATCTCAAAGTCTCTTCACCATCGTCCACAA